CCTCTGTTTAATTCCTACTTTCTTGTTTCTTTTTTTTTCGTGGTTTGTAGAGTTCATGTTCGATGTAGCGCGCACGATAAAACGCAGTAACGAACAATGAAATGTTTATCAAGTGCTACTACGATGAGTGAAGTTCGTGGACGGATTTAAAAGTGCGCTGCGAACTGAAGTGGCAGCAATTCGAAAGGAAAACGTGATTTTGAAGGGTATAAAAAAAAACTTGTTATGGAAGGCCCGAGTTCGCGTTCGTTACTTCGGCCGATGAAAAATTCGCTAAATAATTCAACTTAGAAAGTGCCTGCGTAAAACTTTTGTTTTATTTGCGCTAACGTAAATCGGGGCGACTCTTTCCGGTTCGTCCCATCGTGAAGGCGCGTCGCATGATTAATGCTTCTACCGACTAGCAATAGTTTTGCGAAAGATTATCAATTTTGGCTTCGACGACGCGTAAGACGAACGGACGCGTCTTCTCGCGACGATAAAACCGATTCAGCGAGAGTTACTTTGGTACAAGAGCTTCGAGAGAGGATCAGAGATCGTAAGACTCAGGAAAAGTCTCCGCAAACTCTGAGACGCTCGTAATTAATTAAACGCGTACCTTTTCTCTTCCCTCCACCCTGCCTGTTCCGCTCGCGTAAGAAGAGACCCATCGTATATTAGTAATCCTCCTTTTCATCAGCTTTCGTTCGCCGGAGAGACCAAGCGGATTCTTCTAACAAACGAGAGCAGAAGATGGGATAACAAGTTTTGCATTTTTCAATATATCACATGCCGTACAATTTACAACGAGCAGCATAATTTATAGCATAAAATTCCTACTTTCTACCGACTCCTTTAAAAAGAAAGATAGCGCGTTTCGATCAGCGAATAGCTTCCGTATTAGAATAAAAATTTATTTATTGAAAATGTATTCATCGTCATCTGTCGATACAGCACAATATCTAAGTAAATGGTCCGCGTGTATGTGTGCAATTTACGTATTGAAAACAATGGGTATCATAAATGAAACGACTAGAACTGAAATTGTTTGTTTCTTTATATATCCCTCGCGCATACACGCGTATGGATTTTGTATCCAACTGAGAAAGTGCCAATAGCAATCACTGTTTGTAGTGTATAGTTTGGATATGCAAATAAAATAATATCAAAAAAGTAAAGATATATAGATAAATATAAATCAAAATCTCTAACAAGAAAATAACAAATGAAAATATAAAATAATTAATAAAATAAAATCAAGTACAGTATATAAAATCTAAAGCGGAAGATTTAAACGTTTTGTTGTGACAAAACTATGACAAAAAGCGAACAAGATTGCATCGGAATTGAACGCGATTTCGCCAACGTAGAAAATAAGGGAGGAAGAGTAGTAAAAGAACGGCGAGATGGGAAAGATGAGGTTTGGAATGATCGTCTCGCGTTATAGACAATGTGCATAGGTGTGCATTCGCGCGAGCGCACACATCCTTACAACCGTACATACACGCGCATCCACCGGCTGAATGTGCAAACGGGGTAGTTTCGAACAGACGGAAAGAGAGGACAGAGAAGAAAGGGAAGAGGGTAGTGCCTCATACCCGACTACAGTTTACTTTAAATCTCCCGGATGGTTTCTCGTCCGCCCTCCCGGTTTAAGATAAGCTACGGGGTCCGTCCGGGAAACGGAAGTAATGGCTTACCAGATATTATCAACTGCTACAGAGCGTACCGTAAATGGGTGGCGCTGGTTGCCGGAGAGCCGCTCCATATCCTACATCACTTTTAAGACACTGTACCGAAACTAACAAGCGCTGTAAACTTTTCCGCGCGGCTTACCGCATTACGTGCTGGAATAAGCGGCTTATTGAATTCCGGAGCGCTCAACCAAAAGCTCTACCTTTACCCATCGCACTACAAACTTTATGCCATTTGTTGTACCGATTGCGCGCTCTCTCTATTTTACTCTACCTTCTACACACGTCAACGCTATCATCAATCTTAACATATATCGACTTCGACGAGGATTTCATGTAATCATTAATGTCAGCTATTTTTCAAGAACATAATGGTTTCTACTCGCCATGATATATTATTATATATATATATACCCTTTCAGGTAATATATTATTAACTGTACGGTATGCAAGTTATAATAATCATTACATAATAAAATTATATCATTTTATACTCTCTTTAAAGATTATTATCTTGAAAGATAATTTATATATATATATATATATATATATATAAATTTTTCTTTCAAATGACTCAGTGTCCATGCAACCATTGCTTTCGCTCTCTTATCCACGTCGTCTTCTGCGCATCACCGTCCGGTTCTCCATGTTCAACGAGATTCCTGCTATCGTTCAACAGAAACGGAAAATGAAGTAGAGCGCAAAGAGAGATGGCAAATACGACAAGCCTTCCACCAGCCAGATGAGCAGAGCTCCGTTCCAGCAAACCAAATGACAGATAAACGTTGCCACGTTGAATCTGAAGCCGACTGGGATTAGTCATTCCATGAATAAGCAGGCAAGACGACGAAATTCCATGAAAGAATAAGCCATTCGTCCAGACGGATTCTAGTGAATGTGAAAAGTTCGAGGAAGATATACGGTTGTAAAAAGAGAGAAATACAGATATAAATGATGAACGATGGTTTTGTCACCGATAAAACAAATGATACATAAAACATATATGTATATAAAAAGCATATATACCATTAATTTAGTGCAATTGTAATTTTGTGTGAAGTTTTTCTTCCTCTTTAAAAAATAATTATGCTTAATTTTTGACACTCGATTGATTTGCTTAGAAATTAATGTAAGGAAAGAGAAAAGAGGCTCGAAAAAAATATTTTTTTATATATAAAGTATAGAATCAAATTTAAAATATTATAATAATCAAAAGGTAAATATTCTTTCATTTCTGATAATTGGAATATTTTTCATATTATATTTTAAACTAGTCTGAATGAACAACGGCCAATGCTGCCAAATTTTCCAGAAACAAAGAAAAGACTGTTCTAGAATAATATCCACAGTGACACTACACAAAATGTATATTTTTCTAAAGAAGCGGCCAAGGAGATTCGCGCATAGTCTGTTGGTTCCGTTATCGCGAATAACCATTGCCCAGTCTGAGTAGTCGACAGAGGGGAAACTTACAAAAACCGAATATAAAAGTAGAATGAAGAAAAGGTGTTCTGAGCTTATGAAGGGATTCGTTATAAGAGCACTTCCGGCGTGTTGACATTGCAGTCGGTTGGCTTAAAAAGAAACAAGCGGCCCTGATCATCGTTACTGATAACGACAATAGAGTCTAAAGGGGTGCTCACATTATTCGTGTTTATAAAAAATATCAATCCCACGGGAAACAAATCCTGAGATATGCGATGTAAAATTATTTTTAACTCATTTCTAATCGACATATAATTTTTAATGTACGTATATTTTGGACAAATTCAGAACGTCCTTTATTAATCTCTTATTTACGAATCTTATATTGTATGTATATAATTTTTCAAAAATACTATAAAATTTTTATTATTAACTCAATGATATACTCATATATTCCATAAGAGGATACTTTAGTCTTTCTCTATCTGTTTTTCTCTCTCTTTCTTTAGAGTAAGCAAAGATTTATATCTACGGATTCATATTATTTTATATTAATATATATTAAATTTATATCAAATATAATTAAATCCGACGAAATGCTGAAATATCAATCAAAATATGATATTGCAATATAAAAAAATTCAAGCGTATATTGTCCAATTATCTAAAACAAATACTCGAGATGTGATTTAAGCTATCGCATACACGAGTGTTTCCTTCCCGATTCAATGGTCAATGCTCATCCATCGAAAAGCCAGTTTGGATTATCCGTCAGTCGGCCGAACCTAAATCTTTACCTGACCTCGAAAGTTTCAACAAGATATAAGGCGCCACGGATGATGTATCGCGCGGGTATGGTGCCGACCGATAAAGATGTAATTGAAGTCCACGAGTGCACACATTGCTGCCCAGAGGCCATTGATCATCCCATCTAGACGGATACACCATTCTTCGGCATTTGTCCAATTACGCGCTTCGTACGTAATACCCCCAGGCGTGTTACATAATGGGGAAACTTGCCACTTTAACGCATGCCGTGGGAAATGCTTTCCTCTTATCGAATACTTAACGAAATCATTCCCCGCAGCTTCAATCATGCGACATTGACGATCTCGAAACCGATTCTCCATCTTTCTCCCCGGATATAGTAGTAAGATCGATTATACTCGCGGATATTTCTCTTGTTTTATTTCCGGTTATTTTTCCGTATAGTCTATCCGGCCTGCAGCAGTGCAGCTTATCGCTGATTCATGTAGTTTTCCACGAGAAACGCTCACATAGATCCGAAAAACGTTGGCGATTTATCATTGCCGTGATAATATATCGCATATTTATCACAAGTTTGCACGGAGAGTTCGCATGGTGAACTTTTGTTTAGCGTGTAATTAATTCGAGTTTGATAAAATGGAATTGTTTTGAAATTGTTTTCTTCTCCCCTATGCGCTTTATACCCGTTAGATATTTCTAATAGATTTTATTATTATACGTAAAACTTTGCGCAACATTATTCTCATTTAATATGATTCGTACATTATTATCTCACGTCAGTATTTAAAATAGCGAGTATCCACAAAAAATCCTTTTCTATCTTTTAAAGAATACAAGCTTTTTATTGCCGTTGCCGATAATTTCTAATTATACCAATTAACTGTAATTTCAATTTAAATAATAACCAAATTTCAATCTGTGCTATTAATCAATTAATTCTTATGATAATATCTTGTCTCTTAAATTGTTTTATAATCATAGAAGAAAATGAGATCTTTAACTTTAAATTTTTGAACTATTAAAACACGTACAATTTCTAAACTCTGAACTTGAATATTCTACGATGTGTCAAAAAATACATAATAAAATTGTCAGTCGCCAATACATCCATTAAACCCTAAATAGCGTACTCACCGATAGTTTCAAACCACCGCATCTTCTTGCACGCATGGTACAACTCGAGACAGCTTGCAATGTGCTTAGATCTGAAACGAGATTAACATCGTCATTTTGAAGTCAATTCGCGACCATTGGGTACAAGTTAGTTTGGCATACCGTTTAGAGTGCACAATGCGCTCTCACGTGCCTTCCTGCTCGACCAAATCCCTAACGTAAATTGTTTCGTCGAGAGAAAGGATTTTGGCGGATCTAAACGCGCACCGGTACTCGCGAGCGATTCGGTTGAATGATTGTTGGAGGCCGCATCCGGTTGGATGCTCGATCGAAGGATCCCGCTATTCGCCGCGTAACGCTTCCGGCAAGACAATGCAAAGATCAAAGTTGTCATTAGACGGAGGATAGCGGCAGCATTCAACCAGCGGAGCGCCAGCCGTCAGCGAAGTCTTCAGACTTCAGGATCCACAACCTACGTCGAGTATCCTCCACCGCGCCGCACCGCACTCTACGCTACCAAGTATATCGGGCTTTCCTCTTACGAAAACAAACGATACAATGGAACCGGCGAAATTGCCGTTACGGAGGCAGCTCGCTCGGCTCGCTAGGAGCTGACGGAGAGACCGAATTCCGTGGATCGAGGCTTTCGGAACAATAGCGGAGTTGTCCGCGTTTCCCACTCTACCTCCGCGCTACTCCCGCAGATTACATAGAAAATGCCTGCTCTGGTGTATACACATGCCTGATAAATAGTCTCTTCCTTGCCTAATTCCATGGACGTCGACATCCCCTGCGCGCGACCACTTCTCTCTCCCTCTCTCTCTCTGTCATCGAACGAAACCCATAGCTCGCTCGCAATCGTTTCATGTGACTCGCACGTAGAGCGGCTTGAAAAAGTGCGCCCGCCACTCGAGCGAGCCGCAAGCTCGCGAAACGGCGGAATTGCACGACGACTAATAAATTGCGGTTTTACTGCGCTGCGGAACGAATGCGGCTGAAAGAGGCTTACCGACGGAAATGGCGCGCTGGTGTTTCTTACCGCCGTAATGCAATACGGTTTAATGCATACGGTAGAGGGAATTAAGGCGATTCCTCTTGACTTGCGTAGTGATAAAATTTAAATTTATTGCGGCTACGACGCACTTTTTCGCCGTTAAGCTCAATATAAATTTATTATGCGCCATATGGTCTATCGTTCAATAAATTTATATTGAAATTCTTGGAATTCTTTGCATAAACTGAATTTACCTATCTTGCGACCAAAGTCTTTGTAAGAAAAACAATAAAGCGAAATAATTTCATATGTCATAACTTCGTGTCTGAAATACTTTCATCTACAGATCAAAATCATTACTGTAGTATAGAAATTCTATTCTATTATTCGCGAGTATTGTTGTATTTTTGCCAAGCTTTTCTCTTGGGACATCGATTACCGGAAATCGCGAAAGAAATCGTTGTGCGTTTCACATACGATCTACTATCGCAAGAAGATCAAGCTCCGTCGAAGCTTTGGACCGACATAAATTTTCGAAAGGTTACGCGGTATGGTAGCCAATATCCCGAGAATCGAGTCGCGCGAGTGAACAGCTAGCTTGCGAAATACCGTTTGCCGGCTGATTAATGGAGCAGACTTATATACCACAGGCCTCCATCCACTTCAGCATCGAGTGCCATTCGCTCCAACATTCATCCACTCCAGTATCTTCCTAATGCGCGTCGGCGGGAGGCTATAAGTTAGAAGGAGATAGGAGTAGACCGATAACGATGTCGACGGCGCGGTCGTCTGCAACGTGTTCGAAATAAACGCGGTTCACTCGAGCTTCCTTAGCGGCGCGGAACGAAAACAAGATTAAGAAAAAGCGGAACTGGAAAATACAACTAAAATATTGATGATCCATAAATCCGAGTATCAATGCGTTGAGGCTCTTATGTAATCGACAGGTCTTCCACAAAGAGAATTTCCCCTTCTAATGGATTTATTCCCACGGGTGCTACATCTGGAATCGCTTAATTACGGGATCGATATACCGCAATGGTTTGATAAGCTCGATGCATTCAAGTTATCGTGTATAATAATTTATAAGCAGATCTTGTGTAGTTTATATAAATTACAACTAATAGTATATTAAAATTGCGCGTTGTGTAAAAAAAAGTAGATTTTTAACTGTAGTATTATTTTACGTATGCAAACGTAGATATAAATATGAATTGACTGTTTATATTAAACATTAAGCTTCAATTTTAAAAATGTATTAAAATTTTGCTTTTAAAAATATCCATGAGAAATGTAAATTTACTATTTATATAATTGACGTTTAGCATAAAAAGCGCAACAATTTTCTGTCGTTTGTGACTCAATCGCTTTTGATGTTTTTCGCTAAAGCAAATCAACTTCAAATTTATACAAGAATATATTTGAAAATTTTAATTTACTATTTACAATTTGACTCTCTGAACATCCTATATGTAAATTAAATATGAGTAAAACAATTTCCTCACTCATGTTTGACAAAGAGATATCACAACGCACAAACGATAATTGAATGTGCGCACATAACTCGAGCTTAATCCTGGATAACTAGATATCTTTTAGAAAGCGTATAATTTGAAACGCCTTTCCGCATTCCATTTGGTGACTTTTTCATTTGATATTATTTTATATTAATATATATTAAATTTATGTCGAATATAATTAAATCCGACGAAATGCTGAAATATCAATCAAAATATGATATTGCAATATAAAAATATTCAAGCGTATATTGTCCAATTATCTAAAACAAATACTCGAGATGTGATTTAAGCTATCGCATACACGAGTGTTTCCTTCCCGATTCAATGGTCAATGCTCATCCATCGAAAAGCCAGTTTGGATTATCCGTCAGTCGGCCGAACCTAAATCTTTACCTGACCTCGAAAGTTTCAACAAGATATAAGGCGCCACGGATGATGTATCGCGCGGGTATGGTGCCGACCGATAAAGATGTAATTGAAGTCCACGAGTGCACACATTGCTGCCCAGAGGCCATTGATCATCCCATCTAGACGGATACACCATTCTTCGGCATTTGTCCAATTACGCGCTTCGTACGTAATACCCCCAGGCGTGTTACATAATGGGGAAACTTGCCACTTTAACGCATGCCGTGGGAAATGCTTTCCTCTTATCGAATATTTAACGAAATCATTCCCCGCAGCTTCAATCACGCGACATTGACGATCTCGAAACCGATTCTCCATCTTTCTCCCCGGATATAGTAGTAAGATCGATTATACTCGCGGATATTTCTCTTGTTTTATTTCCGGTTATTTTTCCGTATAGTCTATCCGGCCTGCAGCAGTGCAGCTTATCGCTGATTCATGTAGTTTTCCACGAGAAACGCTCACATAGATCCGAAAAACGTTGGCGATTTATCATTGCCGTGATAATATATCGCATATTTATCACAAGTTTGCACGGAGAGTTCGCATGGTGAACTTTTGTTTAGCGTGTAATTAATTCGAGTTTGATAAAATGGAATTGTTTTGAAATTGTTTTCTTCTCCCCTATGCGCTTTATACCCGTTAGATATTTCTAATAGATTTTATTATTATACGTAAAACTTTGCGCAACATTATTCTCATTTAATATGATTCGTACATTATTATCTCACGTCAGTATTTAAAATAGCGAGTATCCACAAAAAATCCTTTTCTATCTTTTAAAGAATACAAGCTTTTTATTGCCGTTGCCGATAATTTCTAATTATACCAATTAACTGTAATTTCAATTTAAATAATAACCAAATTTCAATCTGTGCTATTAATCAATTAATTCTTATGATAATATCTTGTCTCTTAAATTGTTTTATAATCATAGAAGAAAATGAGATCTTTAACTTTAAATTTTTGAACTATTAAAACACGTACAATTTCTAAACTCTGAACTTGAATATTCTACGATGTGTCAAAAAATACATAATAAAATTGTCAGTCGCCAATACATCCATTAAACCCTAAATAGCGTACTCACCGATAGTTTCAAACCACCGCATCTTCTTGCACGCATGGTACAACTCGAGACAGCTTGCAATGTGCTTAGATCTGAAACGAGATTAACATCGTCATTTTGAAGTCAATTCGCGACCATTGGGTACAAGTTAGTTTGGCATACCGTTTAGAGTGCACAATGCGCTCTCACGTGCCTTCCTGCTCGACCAAATCCCTAACGTAAATTGTTTCGTCGAGAGAAAGGATTTTGGCGGATCTAAACGCGCACCGGTACTCGCGAGCGATTCGGTTGAATGATTGTTGGAGGCCGCATCCGGTTGGATGCTCGATCGAAGGATCCCGCTATTCGCCGCGTAACGCTTCCGGCAAGACAATGCAAAGATCAAAGTTGTCATTAGACGGAGGATAGCGGCAGCATTCAACCAGCGGAGCGCCAGCCGTCAGCGAAGTCTTCAGACTTCAGGATCCACAACCTACGTCGAGTATCCTCCACCGCGCCGCACCGCACTCTACGCTACCAAGTATATCGGGCTTTCCTCTTACGAAAACAAACGATACAATGGAACCGGCGAAATTGCCGTTACGGAGGCAGCTCGCTCGGCTCGCTAGGAGCTGACGGAGAGACCGAATTCCGTGGATCGAGGCTTTCGGAACAATAGCGGAGTTGTCCGCGTTTCCCACTCTACCTCCGCGCTACTCCCGCAGATTACATAGAAAATGCCTGCTCTGGTGTATACACATGCCTGATAAATAGTCTCTTCCTTGCCTAATTCCATGGACGTCGACATCCCCTGCGCGCGACCACTTCTCTCTCCCTCTCTCTCTCTGTCATCGAACGAAACCCATAGCTCGCTCGCAATCGTTTCATGTGACTCGCACGTAGAGCGGCTTGAAAAAGTGCGCCCGCCACTCGAGCGAGCCGCAAGCTCGCGAAACGGCGGAATTGCACGACGACTAATAAATTGCGGTTTTACTGCGCTGCGGAACGAATGCGGCTGAAAGAGGCTTACCGACGGAAATGGCGCGCTGGTGTTTCTTACCGCCGTAATGCAATACGGTTTAATGCATACGGTAGAGGGAATTAAGGCGATTCCTCTTGACTTGCGTAGTGATAAAATTTAAATTTATTGCGGCTACGACGCACTTTTTCGCCGTTAAGCTCAATATAAATTTATTATGCGCCATATGGTCTATCGTTCAATAAATTTATATTGAAATTCTTGGAATTCTTTGCATAAACTGAATTTACCTATCTTGCGACCAAAGTCTTTGTAAGAAAAACAATAAAGCGAAATAATTTCATATGTCATAACTTCGTGTCTGAAATACTTTCATCTACAGATCAAAATCATTACTGTAGTATAGAAATTCTATTCTATTATTCGCGAGTATTGTTGTATTTTTGCCAAGCTTTTCTCTTGGGACATCGATTACCGGAAATCGCGAAAGAAATCGTTGTGCGTTTCACATACGATCTACTATCGCAAGAAGATCAAGCTCCGTCGAAGCTTTGGACCGACATAAATTTTCGAAAGGTTACGCGGTATGGTAGCCAATATCCCGAGAATCGAGTCGCGCGAGTGAACAGCTAGCTTGCGAAATACCGTTTGCCGGCTGATTAATGGAGCAGACTTATATACCACAGGCCTCCATCCACTTCAGCATCGAGTGCCATTCGCTCCAACATTCATCCACTCCAGTATCTTCCTAATGCGCGTCGGCGGGAGGCTATAAGTTAGAAGGAGATAGGAGTAGACCGATAACGATGTCGACGGCGCGGTCGTCTGCAACGTGTTCGAAATAAACGCGGTTCACTCGAGCTTCCTTAGCGGCGCGGAACGAAAACAAGATTAAGAAAAAGCGGAACTGGAAAATACAACTAAAATATTGATGATCCATAAATCCGAGTATCAATGCGTTGAGGCTCTTATGCGGCTATAAATTATTAAATTGTCTGAAGTGATGTAATCGACAGGTCTTCCACAAAGAGAATTTCCCCTTCTAATGGATTTATTCCCACGGGTGCTACATCTGGAATCGCTTAATTACGGGATCGATATACCGCAATGGTTTGATAAGCTCGATGCATTCAAGTTATCGTGTATAATAATTTATAAGCAGATCTTGTGTAGTTTATATAAATTACAACTAATAGTATATTAAAATTGCGCGTTGTGTAAAAAAAAGTAGATTTTTAACTGTAGTATTATTTTACGTATGCAAACGTAGATATAAATATGAATTGACTGTTTATATTAAACATTAAGCTTCAATTTTAAAAATGTATTAAAATTTTGCTTTTAAAAATATCCATGAGAAATGTAAATTTACTATTTATATAATTGACGTTTAGCATAAAAAGCGCAACAATTTTCTGTCGTTTGTGACTCAATCGCTTTTGATGTTTTTCGCTAAAGCAAATCAACTTCAAATTTATACAAGAATATATTTGAAAATTTTAATTTACTATTTACAATTTGACTCTCTGAACATCCTATATGTAAATTAAATATGAGTAAAACAATTTCCTCACTCATGTTTGACAAAGAGATATCACAACGCACAAACGATAATTGAATGTGCGCACATAACTCGAGCTTAATCCTGGATAACTAGATATCTTTTAGAAAGCGTATAATTTGAAACGCCTTTCCGCATTCCATTTGGTGACTTTTTCATTTGAGAAGCGAATTGGATGGTTTAAAAGCGCACCTAAGGAAATGGAACGAAATTGCAGATAAGAACCACGGGGAAACGTCCTGTTCAAGTACGATTCTCACAAAGGAAACGCTAAGAAATTAGGAAAATTTTAAGCCGGTGATAATTTCGTAAGAATGCTTTCTCTTTACGTGCCATAGACATCTTAAATTAAATCACGACCGATTTTATAGAGGCAAACATAAAAGCATGCAATTACAAAAATAGAATAAATTGAAAATATGTAAATATATAAAACACGTAAATATATGTGAATCTTGATTAGAGCGCGCATACAATGATATACGTTTTTTTTTCTTGAATTCAGAAATAAATTTACAAACATAAATATTACTTATATCGGAAAAAAATAAACGAGCAATTGTATTAAAAGAAAAGAAAGCAAGAGTTCTTCCCGAAGAAAATCACCGGGAAAATAGCAGAAAGCTTTGCTTGTTCGTGCGACCGACGATCTCGTACTACCGAAAGGTCAGTAATTGGCTGTTACATTTTAAACAACCAACCGCGTGCGCTTTAATTTACTTTTATTTCCGCCCAGGGAATTTTCGTTCCCGCTTTCACGGAGGTTTATAACTGGACCCTACCTCGGCTCGACATTGGCTACATCGTGTGAAAAAAAAAAAGACTTTTTAGTGTACTGCTTCTATCCGTCGTTCTTTTACTCTCGATCCCGTGAAGCTCCCACAGCTGCTTAGGGAATTTTAAGTAGTACAACGAAGCGTGCGAAACATCTGCCTTTATAACGCTGAATTATATTTTCTGAATTAAAAAGCGCAATACACGCTTTTACATTTTTTCATATTGCATGATATTCTACCTCTAAATATCGCAAAATTATCAGATTTTATTAAAAATATTACATTGTAACGTAAAATTATATCTTTTGCAAGAATATTTAATATTTATTACAATTATTATAATAGACAGTAACAAGAAATTAGAATATATTTTTAAAGGAAAACAGCAGAAAAGGGATAAGAATTCAAAAAATGTAAAATACGAAAAGTATTCCTCCCGAAAATAGCTTTCATCGTCATGACTGTAATGTAGCACGCAAAATGCAATACCGGGGGAAACCTGTCAAATCGTAATACAAACATTGGAATAAAATCTTACTGTCTGTGCAGCGGAAAGGAAACTAATGTATAGCAATAAAAAATTTGAATGCGAAGAACAGTGAGAATGTTACGAAAAAGGGACGCGCGTGCGAATGGTCGGTCGCTCTTTTTCAAGTACGTCGAAAAATATCCGCCCAAACGCGATAAGCCGCTATTTATGTAGCTCCGACTAACTTACCATCCGTATTACATAGCGCCGTGTTACTCGCGGATAAGCTCGTGCGAGATACGCTAAACTAAAACCGTACTCGAGAAACTCGCTCGAAAATGGGTGGGTATCGTTACGATACTTCGGAAGAATCCCAGTACGCGAATAAAACTGATAGCGAACGTCGGAACGAATGCGGACGGCTATTCCTTTTTACCGCATAGAGTTTAACCAATGCTGCAACCTCCATCCCAGGGAATAGCTGGAAATAGGACTTGGAAAGACATGGACAGAGAGGCAGGAGGGAGAGTGCAGACTAGCGAAACTAGGAGCTATTCCCATAAATATTAATTAAGACCCCATCGGCGGGAGGGGCATCGTCGTGCGAGAGCGCGGAGATTTCAAACGGTACGACGCAACGGCGGCGTGTCATTCGGCAGAAAACGAAAATCCGCAGGCCGCAAGGGCCATAAATCCCCAAGTTTCTACGGCTGCCTTCGCCAACCCGCATAGTGACAAAGAGAAGGGAAATCGGTGGGAGAGGAAGGGAAAGTTGATGGACCCGCTGTTACAATCCGCGGCTACGGTTACCGTACCTTAGCCTTCCATTCTCTCTGTTACGTTACTTACGCGCGGTACGCTGAATTATCCGAGAAAGGCCCGCTGCTATATGTTTGTTCTAGGCGCCCGTAAACGCGATGCGTGCTCGTCTATGTGTGCGAGTCGACTTATCAACCTCGCGAATATATCTTCCCAATTTCTCACTCGCGTGTTATCAAGCTTTCCGCACCGGTTTATAAACAAGTGCTCGCCCAGCACCGCCGACACCTGCGCTGAAGTGCGCGATGCTTACAAAAATAATTCAAGTTCGAAGAAAAAGTGTTTCAATAATGGATCAATTTTGAATTAAATACTCAACATTTATCGATATCCCATAACTTAAATATATAAAATACATACGCATTAAATACATTAAAAGTTTTATACACATATAAAAAATTGGACGTAGCTATCTTTATACTATTTTTAATTTTATTTATTATATTAATTATATTTAATA